AATAGCCAAACCGACAATTGCTTTTCGGGTTTCATGTAAATTATGAAATAAGAACAAATGAATATTGAAACCTTTAGAATTTGATTTATTTATTCGAAATACATATTGTTGTTGATATCAAGTGAATTACCTGTAAAATACGATTGAAAACGTGAAAGACTTTATTTACATATACTTCCGGTATCTATAATAGAAGAACATGAGGATCGAAACTAAAATTGAAAATTCCGGATTTTATTTACTTTCTATCTCTCAAACCCTTCGATCTCTCGAACTTTTCTTACGGTCCCTTGAATTTCAGGATCGAGAGTCACCTGTATTCCCAATCAACATGTCAAAGCCCTTGGTTACAACAAATAGAGCAAGTGTAAGAAGAAGCAGTTTTTTCTCTTTTAAACAATGAGTGCATGTTTGTTTATTAATTCCTTTTATCCTTCACCAAAGGATGATGCTTTGTGGCAAACTTGGTTGAAATTGACCAGTGCTGGAGAAGACGATAATCTGACCATTATGATGACAATGATGAAAAAGATATGCAACACCAAACAAAGTTTATCAAAAAACATGCTTGATTTTATCCTCTGGTCAGCTAAAAAGTATGTTTCTAAAGGTAAAGCTGGGGATAGGTATAAGACCCCCTACCTTAAAGAGAACCCCCTCACACCTGTGGGGGTGAAGACTGAATTCTTTTATTGGTCTCACTCCTAGAATCTGTTTCATTTATTATTGCGAGCAAAATCAATAGGAGTTTTATCTGTGAAATTGATATAAAATACATTTCTAATGCTTATTATACACTCATTGTCAGGAATCAATTGTTTCTTATTATATTTCTTTCTCTCTACATAGCTTGTTTTGGCAAGTTTAATATTTTGGTAGTGTTTTTGTGGTGATTCATTAATTTGGCAAAAATTATTTGTAAAGGTTTAAGTTTAACTTTATAACTTCATAGATATATACTGAATCATAAATAATTCACAAACATCCAGACCTTTGTTTAAAGTTTAGATAAGTTGTCATGAAATCACGATTAAAAATATCCATTTTTAAAGACAAATCGATACATTTGTGTCTTGCTTAAATATCCACCTGGTAATTTTTTGATTTTTACCCTTTTTTATTTTTTAGGTTGCAGCTAGCCCACTTTGAATCAATAACACTGCAATCTCCTTTTGATTAGCCTGGGCAGCAATTGGAGAGCAGAATTTCCATATGCATCTCTAAACCCAGATTGGGTCTTTCTCTTGTTTTTTTAACTGGCAGGAAGAAAACCAAAGCCCATGACAAAACTGTAGCTCTAATACATCCTAGAGTATCCTAGCTACAGAGTCCATGAGTATTGTCATTCTACACCATGAAAATGCTAACAATTATTAACTAAATAGCTGATTATGTCTCAGCTATTAGTGAAGCGAAGTTTTTAAATTTTTTTACACATTTTTGAAAAAAAAAAAAATTTAATACCAATTTTGCTTCCACATCTTTCACCTAAGGAACTTTAAAAAGAACTAGCTTGCATATCAAAATGACCATTATGGAACTCCTTTTCTTGATATGGTAAGAATATATTTCTAAGACTTCATTTTCCTATATAGAACTTTAGTGCAGACTAAACTTGGTTCAAAGGCAATGAACTAAACAAATTAAAAGAAATCACTCAAATTTTGCCCTTTATATTTAAGAAGAAAGTTACAATGACTAACAGACAGACAGACCTAGACACAATACCATCAGGAAAGCTCACTTCAGTTTCTGTGAGCTAATAACTGGCTGGTTTACAGATAGCTAGACAGACAGATTAATGTTGGACACTTTCCTATAACAATACTGACTCAATGCTTATAGCAACAAAATCCCCTCATTTTACCATATCCTGAATTAGGTCCAGTTTTCCTTCTCTGACTGAGGACAGGAAGATCTGTTCTCTCTTTTTGTTGTCATGGTCCTCTGCAGCTGAAAGGGAAAGAAGCATTAGTCTGAATGTGGTTAAAAACAACATGAAAACTTCATCCAATATACTACATGTACCATATAATGAAGGTAAGAAGTTTAACCAGTGTTACTTACCCAGAATAAGTTCACTGATTTCTCTTGTTTTGGCAAAAAGTCTGGGAGTTTGTCCTTCTGAGTTTATCAGTGTAACATCAGCACCAGAGTCCAGAAGCACCCGCACAACATCCTACATATACAATAAGGCCTGAACTCTGGGCATTGTTAAGTAACTAAAATTTCATATGAATGTGCTTTTCAGATTGGCAGTATATTAACTTTATAGATATAATACCAGTCTGCCAGTGTAAGCTGCCTTGTGAAGAGCTGTGTCTCCATTGGGTTTGTAACATCAATCCCAGCACCATTCTGCAACAATATATAGCTGACTTAGCATATACATAGGTGAAATAAAATGAAATTGTTTCTTATTAGTAATTTTTATTTGTCGAACACATTTTACTTATAGAGATCCTCTCTCCATTTTTTTTTTATTACCTACATGTAGCATGGATTTAATACAACAATTAAAGTCATTACTAACACCTTAGTCTGTGACAGTACATTGCTTTGTTTATAGCCTGGGAAACATAATGATTGGAAATCAGTTCATGCTAGACATTGGTAAGATTGGATGGTGACAATCTAAAATGCTCCTGCTTTAAGCAAATGCCATTGTGAAAGACTCTAAATCCAAGGACACTCGTTTGGTGAAAGTTGGACCAGAAGGAACTAAAGGCAAAAAATATGCTATAATATGATATACAGAAAACAATTTTAATAAAATTTGCTAATTTTGAAAACTTTCATAGAAACTTGGTTTTATAAGGACATTGTATACCCTCTACCCTAGCATTGGCGTCAGAAGCAAATTGAAAGTGGGGGGGGGGGGGCTAAGTGTAAAAAAAAAAAAAAAAAAGGAAATGTGCATTTTGGGGGGGGGGGGGGGGGGGTAGGTTCGAACTTCAGTACCAAAATGTTTCCTAACACCACCACTTTCCGCATTTTTAATACATGTATATACTAAGACCTATCTGTTGAAAGTGGGGGGGCTAAACCTAAGAAGATATGTTCAATGTCTATACTAAGTATATAATGGGAAAAAAAGTGGGGGGGCTAAGCCCCCCCCCAGCCCCCCGTTTCCGACGCCTATGCCTAGAGCACTCATTGAGTAGAGACAATGTGCTTTAAACAAGGACTTTACACAGCGATTTCACTGCATACCATCTATGATGCATGGGTAATCTAAAGGTGAAGTTTGAGCCTGACCGGGACAGTTGAAAATGAAATATGCTCAGGACATGAAATCAGATGGACAGACTGCTCACTAAAGGGTACCAAGAGAGCAGAGTTCTTATGATTAATATAAGAGGTTCATGGGCCACAATGCTCACCCATTAGAAACTGAGTAACTAAGGACCTTCTTGTTCGTCATCAGATGAGATGCAATTTATGGTGCAAGATTTTCTGTGCATTGTTGAAGAAAATTTCCCCATTTTCCAGCAAAGATCAACCAACTTCCTTTCACTCCCAAATTGTCAACACATTTTAAGCAACCTATATATTTTATCCACCTCCGAACCCCTTATAGTTGTCTCTACAGACCAATAAACTCATCCGACAAAAACGTTGAAACACCTTATTTGCATTATGGGATCTGTAGTGTTATAATCATATAAAACCATATCACTACAGATCTTTATATACAGGGCTCAACATTAACGCTTGTCCCGTACCAGTGAAAGAAAATTACGGAAAAGTGAATATTGTGGGGCACTTGTCCAATTGGACAAGTGAACATTTTATATGTTGTTGTCAGGACAGAAAGCCTAAATAAAATTTCTTTTAATATTTTTGTTCTATTTATCAATATTATCACAAATCAATCAAAATTTATTGAAAAATTTTTTGACAAGTGAAGCTGAAGTTCAGAAAAGTAAATGTTTAAAGGTCATAGGAAACGATTCTTCACACCATAATTTCACTTTTTAAATCCAAAGCTACATATGAAAGAATGTTAAATTACGAGTAGTGATATTTTCTGGCCTTTGTTCTGCTGTAAAATAAAGATAAAAAGTGTTCCACTTGTTTCTTTTATTACCCGCTTATCGTTCTTGATTTTGTGGTTTTATGACGTCACAAAAGCCCACTGATGCAAAAAGGATCATTGGACATAATGTAAATCTACTCTATTTTATCAAGTTAGTTATATTTTATTTTTTGTGAATATAAATGCGTGTCTGTGTTCAGATGGTGGGGGAGGGGGCTTTTGTGGCTTTAGTGCCGACAATGATGTGCTAATTCATGAATATTGCTAATAAATAACTTATATATAATATATATTGGCTGTAAGTATGAGGCTAATTCATGAGTACTCCAACAAATCAATACCTGGTCCCATGCAGTGATTGCGCTAAATTTTGAATACGCCAAGTTAAGTTCACGCGTACAGTATAAGAAGGTAACAGACAGGACTCAAGCTCCGAAGTCCATTCAAACAATCAATATCAGTAGCAGAGCAAGTATGGACCTCTAAATCACCAGGTGCATTAAACAAAAAATAATAATAAAATGTATATAGATGTTATGCCTACCTCCAATAAAATTTTCACCACATTCTTATGTCCAAAGAGGCAGCCAGATGAAGAGATGTCCAACCCCTGTTAAACTTCTGATTGCCTAAAATATATTTATAATTTATATTACACTTTCATGTAAATAATTTGAATCTGATGCCCTGTTCACGCGGAGAGTTTAATTCGCAGTAAATTAATGTGAAGTAAACTAATGCGAAGTAAACTAATATGCGAATTAAAATTTAATGTCTCTTCAAAAAGACTATTCAGTAAGGCTATTATGACCTCATTTGTAAATCACGTCATGTATGCAGAGCCATCCATTTGATATAATAATCATATTGGCTATAGGTATACATTTAGTGATTACCATATTTTTCCATGATTTTTAGGGATGGGTATCGCTAAAAATTTCGTATCGCGATATATCACGATTTTTTCCCAAAATACCACGATAATATCATGATATTTTTGCAATAAATTTTTACAATGAATTTTAATGAATTGTACAAAATTTCACTTTTTTGAAATTTTTATGTACATAAAATTAATCATGTTCGGATGGTAAGATGCTGTTCTTTTCACCTTTTACAATATTTTTTAGACTTCCTATAATTGTTATTTGAAAGATGAAACAAATAAATGAATAATTTCTGGACTTTATAATATGTACCTCAATACCGGTATTTAGGTCTCTGTATCACGATACGTATCACGCGACAAAAAATCGCGATATACCGGTATACCGATAAAATCGCACATCCCTAATGATTTTTGAACCAAATAAAGCAGGATACCTATATCTAAGTAACCACCAACATGTGTCCTGTGACTTAATTCTGGCCTTATGCATGCATCAAAATTTAATTCGAATTAGCTTCGCTTAGCGTTCACATGGAGCTAATGCGAAGTAATTTATTACGCATTAAATAAATTTGAATTAAACTAATTCGCAATTAAATTCTCCATGTGAATGCTAAGCGAAGCTAATTAGCAGTAACTTTACGTTAAATTCGAATTAAACTCTGTGTGTGAACAGAGCATGATTCATCTCAACCTCAGCTTTGCTTCATTTGAAAATGGTTTTCTTGAGGTGAAAGTTTTCAATGTTACACTCAACTACACACACTGTACATGCAATATTTATAAAATGATATGCCATATTTACTTTTAGCTTAAATTGTTGAAATGCTAAAACAAGTTCACTAACTGATTGCAAAATAGTCCCTCATAATAAATATAGTTATAGACAATCCCTATAAATTCACAGTATATCTGAAATAAACAAACCTTTAATTAACATCCAGGCTTATCTCTCCAAGTTTGGATCTGCTGATCAAATCCCTGACCACTTCTACTTGGCCATTCCTGGAAGCCGTCAGGAGTCGCTCATTGGCATCAACCGTGTCCTCCTCCTCGCTACTCTCTGTGGCACTCTTGAAATTGTCCTGATCTGACGCCAAGCTCACGTCCATTTCAGACAGTCCTTGATCCTGTTGATGTTAGTTCGTTACTCAGCTGTTACTGTCATTGGAAAGACGTCATGTGACCAAGGATTTATGTAATATGGAAGCTGAATGAAAACACATATAACATAAATGTCAAGTGAACATGTTAAAAAAGAAAGTTAAATACTATTGTACTTAATGCAAAGGGTTTCCAAAGCCTTGTTTCATTAATATTTCAGTAACACCCGAGCCAAACCGAAAGGGGGTGTAACTCCAAAACAATATTTCTACTTTCACTTTCAAATATGGTTAGTTCGTATCACTAATTTTCCTTTGAGGATGAACATGTACTTATTATTTATTTTAAAAAAATGTATACACGATGCACGTAATTTGAAACTTAATGATTTTGAATTATGAGTAATTAATTCCTTAAGAGAGCAAAATGAAAATCACGACAAGATGACTCAATTTTGAGTTACCAGAGACATATTTA